GGGCAGCACGAGGCTCACGGGGCTTTGCTCTGTTCTCCAGATTGGGAAAAAAAAAAACCCTCTTGTTGCGAAGGCAAAAGGCTTCCCCTAGCAAAGCGAGGCTGCTGGCTAGACTTTGTCCGCGTTGTCCTGCTGCTGGAGCGTTAGCTGCGTGAGTACATGCGTTGGGTGCTGCTGCTTCTCAACTCTTGCATTCGCAGTGAATTAGAGGGGGACGAGTTAAGAAAAGGGGAGGTTTTTGAAGTCCCTTCTCTTCCTCCTTCCCCTTAGCACTGTTGTGGTGAGAGGTCACATTTAAATGCTTTGAAATAGGGGAAGGAGGCAGGGTCTCGTTTGAGGTGGCTGAAGCTTGATTTAGGTATGTATTTAAAAGATCTCCTCACAGCATATTGGGATGTTTGGTGGAAGGGCTCTGTGCTGGGCTGTTGTTTTGTGGTTGTATGGTTCAGTCTCAAATGTAGCTGGCGGCCACCAAAACCAGCAAATGTGTTTGAAGGTCCAGTTTGCTTTTATCAAAGAAGCTGTGCTTGGGGGCATTGTGGTCTTGAAGAATTCGCCATCTTCTCTGAGGTCTTGCTTGATCATTAAAAAAGAGCGCAACTGGAGAAAAAAAAAAGTATTTTGGTCGGTTCAGTGATTTCTTCTTTCCTGCATCCCAAAGCTACGTTCATGAACAAAACCAAACAAGTTTGAATTTCCCAGCAACTCCAAACAAAAGGCCCTCCAGGGCCCACCTGCATCTTCCTCTTCCACTTGATCCTTCAGAAGTGTTGAGCACTAGTTGATATAATTGAGTTTATTGGAGCTCACACATCTCTGTTAGTGAGTGCGATTTTAAAAAATAAAACTTGCTTCCATCTCTCTAATCTCTTTCCCACAAAACTAGTGGGAGAACAGGCTTTGTAGTGGATTGGGGATAACAAAAAATCTGGGCTCCGATTGAAACTGAAGAGAATTCATAAGTTTTGTTTGTATAAAGAACAGGGCACAGAGTTTTAATTATTATAAAAGTATTCTAGAGTTTTCAGATGTATTCAGCATTGCCTTAATGATTTGTTTGTGTAAATGCCCTGTAATTAAAAGCATCCATTTATGGGTCTGGCTTGCTAAGTGAGCTGTAAATTCTGCTTTTCAGATTGGATTTAATGACTTTTATCATAAAGCCACAAACTGGTGGTGAACTGTGCCGAGAGGCAAACAATACCTAAGCTTACTTTGCCAAAATATTTGTAATTGTTGATTTGTTAAACTGAATTGCTGCAGGTCATGCGATGGGATTAGTTTTTTGTCATAGAATGGAGAGTACAGGCAGTCCTGTGTTCAATACTCCCTGGGCTAGAAAAAAATTGGCTAATGCTGAAAAATCTTCCTAAATGCTGCTCTGTACTTCCAGCAGAGAAACTACATTGCAAAGAGTAAGGCTTCAAAAATTTTGTTGTGGTTGTGCATGTTTGACAGTCATAAGGTGAAGACCAAGAGGAGAGTGTGCAGGAGCGGTTCCTGGGTCTCATGGCAGCTTAGTCTGGAGCTCGAGCTTGATTAAATTACGCTGGAGCAGGATGAGTAACATAAAGCTCTCTTCATAAACAGAGTTCTCATCGCTCTGTACCAAAGAGGAGCCTTTGAAGAAAGTTTTTAGGCCTGATTTGAAAGTGAACTTGAATAAACTAATCGAATGCACTTGTTTATTGTTCAAAAAAGTGGAGAAGCTGTGAGGCTCTATGGAAGAAAAATGAAAACCAGGTACTTGATAACCTGGTAGGGGGCTGTTACTGCCAAATTTATCCCAGGAGTACGTCCTTTCTAAAATAATCAAATTGAC